AGAGCAGCCAATGACCCAATGAATCTACTTATAATCACTTTTTTTAAATAGAGTGACTAATAAAAAAGATCTTATATTTAATTCATAGATACCTAAGTGGGGTAATTAAGTAAGAGATTATCTTTCATTATATAATTTAAATTTTAAAAATAAATTATTTAGAGAAAACTTAATCTTAAAATGTGTATAAATTATTTAGAAAACATCCACCCTAGCATACAAAATAAAACAATAATTAATAAAAAGAAGAAGGGATCATAGAGTTCTTGTGTGAGGGAAACTTATCTATGCAAGTTGAGCTAAGGTAAATATTAATTTGTTTGCACGGAAAATATCTACTTAAGCAAAATGAAATACATATTCTTTGGATTAAAAATTACCTGTGAATTGTTTCTTGTCAAAACATGCTCGTTTAAAAGTCTTTTAGATTAGACGGTGCATAACTTTACCTCTTTTTTTTCTTTTTTGTTGGGAGATAATAGGGAGTCACTCTCACTCTCGAAAAGCAGATAAGTACATATTTTGCAAGTGGCATTAACGAAGTCATATGAAAGTGACAAGCAAAAATGAAAACACCATATATAAGTTGTTTTTTGTTTTTTTTTTTTTGAACAAATTAATAAAAAATCGGGTTTGAATTGTTGTCCTGAAAAAAGAAGAATGCATTTATAAGTGGCTTGAAATTACTGGACCGAAAGGCCCAAGTGCATATATAAGTTGTTTAAATAAATAATTTTAAAAAATAATAAATGAATGTCAACATGACAAGGTCCTGATTAATAAGGTAGTAAATATTAATATATTGTACCATAAAAAATATTAATATATTGAACCATAAAAAAAAACATATTAATATATTAATTGAGATATTTAAAGTTGAACTTCCAGCAATTTATTTTCGTGATAACATAGAAAATTTGAGGGCTTTTATTTCTATTTTGTATGTACCAAAGTATCAGACCTTTTTTTTTTTGGTACTTTTTTACAAATATAATTATTGGAACATTATACTTATATTAATTTACAAATACTTACAAATTATTTTATTCCCAAGATTGTTAAAAATTCCAACGTCAGATCAAAAGATAATAAAAGTTTTGTCAAAAAAGTATACAGTACAAATGATTTATGGATTATTATCATTAATTTTGTGGCCTTCATGGATAATGGATGGCAACTAATTGAAGTAATCTTCTTCTGTTTGACGTGGACCGTTTCTCCATGGACTTTTACTTCGGCCCAATTCCATCTAGATCATTCACTTTGACTTTTAATTTCTCCTTCACCAAACGAATTAGTCACAGAAACCTATCTACTTTTTTTTCTTTTTCCTTTTTTTTTTTTAAACATAGAAGAATTTGGAAGATTAGAAATATTTTTTCAAAGTATTGGTAAAAGTCAAATTTTTAATTAACTAAATTTAAGTGTTTAAGGATTTGAAATGAATTATTGAACTTAAAATTTTGATTTAAAACTTATACTCTATTTAAGTTATTAATTTATGAGAAACATAAATTAAAAAAAAAAAAGTTGAATGAAAAGTTAATTTTTAACATCATAAAATTTATTTTTATTTATTTATTTTAGTTTTGAATTGTGATAAAAAAATAATCATTTTTCATCTCGTAATTTCATTACATTTATATATTATGTAATTAAAATTTAAGATTTTTTAGTTTTTTTAAAAAAGATTATAAATGAAATATTTGCATCATTGACAATAAACTCATGCTTTATTAATTTATATAATATAATTTAAATTATAAAAAAAATTAATATATTCCATGCTAGTATTCTAACGTAGCATTTCAGCCCAACCACCTAGTAAATTCGAGGAGGCTAAGAGGAAAAAAACATGTTTTTTCATGGAGGACTAACATCTGACTTGGACAGGGGATAAAAGTTTAGGCTAACCGTGTATGGTCAATTACTTGAGAAACAAGAATAATGAAATATTGAGAAGAGTCATAATCTTTCACTAAATAGATATTTCAGATATTGCACCTGGACCTTACATTCCAACGGTCATAAATCGATTTGTAAAGTGCATCTCTCAATTCGAAAGTTGAG